TTTTTTTAGTTATTTCTTTTATTTACTTTACAAGTTCAATAATTTTCAAAATTTACATGATATTTAATATCTTTTTAATTAAATATAAATGTATAAATATTGATTTTATAAAAACTTATTTAAAATAATTTTTTAATTATAAGTATATTTTAAATATATAATTTTATTATTTTGGAAAGTTAAAAAAGAAAATTTTTATTATTATTTTTATTTAAAAGAAAATAAAAAAAATTTCAAAAAATAAATTATAAAAGTAACACAGTTGAAAATTCGATTTTTCAATAATCGAATTCTGATATCTATATAAATATTTGAAATATTAATTATGGATAGATTTTAAATTTAAATCTACTGATTGGATAAATTTTTAATATCGGTGTAAAATTTTTATTTTTTATAGTTTGTCATATAAAATTCTTTTGTTGAATGTTTTGTATATATATATATATATATATATATATACATTAAAAAGAGTTGAGAGTGACTTAAAATCTCAAATTTTTTATAGATCTAATTGATACAATTGGAATTTGAACGATTAAAATTTATTAGAATATGCTTCGAGAATAAAAAGTGCAATTAAACCTATTTTATAAGAATATATATATATATATATATATATATATATTATAACTATTCATTAAATTAAATTTTATATTTCGATAGGTTAAAATTGATATATTTATATTATAAAATTGAGGAGTTTGATTCAAATTTAAATAAATGATTTAATTAAAATGTAAGAAACTAGTCCCATTCATCCTCTATGCAACTCATAATTTTATTATTTATTGTTAATCAGTTTACTTTGTGTAACATTCCTTTTAATAACATAATATTACTAAAATAAAATATTAATACGGTTATTCAAAATATAGGACTATAATAATATAAGACATATACGTCTCAAACTTCTATAAAATATTTTTATTCTTAAAATTATACTTAACATAGTATAGTATCATCTCTCAGACTTCGACAGCGTGCTATAGAACATTCCTAAGTTGTGTCTTTACATATTTATCTATTCATATTGATAAAGTGATCATTACAAAAGAACGAAACAACGACAAGAAAAACAAACACAAGAGGGTACGTCAATTTGCCAAAAAAAGATCATATATTAATGAGACTCACAATACAATGCATCCATATTGTCACCGAGATATAAATCATATAATCAAAGATTATTCTAGAATCAATTATCCAAATCATGCATTGAGATCAAATTCATTAAAGATGTGAACTTGTGGTCACCTCTACTACTCTACAGAGTCATTCTTAATGGGTTTCACTCTACTATACACAAGGTTAGTTCTTTCTCCATCTTAGGTCAATGGAAAGCGCTTATATTAGGACCTTCAGATACTCTCACACCTCATACTACTCTCACTACATAACTCATTATACTCTATATGAATGTGAATGATTATTAGAGTGTCAAGATATCTTTTTGCTTGAATCCATACATCAATGCATACAATAAAGAAAGATACATCAAAAGGATTTCCTCTGTGGAGTTCCATGCATTCTCATAAGTTCATATCATCAACATACATACTTTACACTTCGTATCACATTCTCTCAAGAATATTACACAACAACTTAACACATATACAAATTTTTTGAAATATTTAAAATAAAACTACAGCTTCTCCAAAACTCTGAAAATTATGTTCTTACCACTAGTAAAAAAAAAGGCTTAGAAATCGCTATATAGGCTTCGGTTGTACACCATCCGAAGCGTATCAATGTATATACTTCGTTTGTCCCGAAACCGGTACCTAAAGCACCCTACTGACTCGATTATAGGCAAAACCGAAGCCAAAAACTCTGCTCCACCCTGCCACGCCTGCCTGCTCCGCCTTCCACGCCTGCCAGATGTGACTTTGCTGATAGTATAGGCCTCGGTTCTGATACGACCGGTGCCAAACAGTCTGAAAAGCTGATACTCCTTCGGTTGCGCGCAGAACCGAAGCTGAAAGATCAAGTCTGGTTAAGAGGAACGACCTCGGGTAGCTTGCAACTGGTGTGAAATCCCTTTTAGGCTTCGGTTTTCCTAATGACCGAGGCATTTAAGTTCTCGCCCTTTTCTTTTCTTCTTCGCCCTGCACCGTTTCTGCTGCCCCGAGGTTCCTTTTTCCTTTCTTCTTCGTGCACCATTTCTGCTGCTTCATTTATTTTCGTCTTCGCATTTGTGCCGCCATTCTCTCCAAGGGCTGCCTCCACCACCGTGACGGCTTCTCCTTCCTCAGCTTCTCCTTCCTCCTCCTCTCCATTCTTCCTCTACGTCGCGGGTTCTCCACCTCTTCCATGACTGCCTCTGCGTCGCGAGTTCCTCCAGATCGCGACCTCTGCCTCTGCCTCTGCCTCTGTCGGAAATAGGGTTCCTCCACTGCGCCACCGTCACTGCTGCCTCTGCCTCTGCCTCCGACAGTGCTCCAGATCGCGACCTCTGC